CAGACACAGAAAGAATAACCTCAGGAACTCTTAAAAAGAATCAAAAGAAAGCGAGAAGAAAGGACTAAATATCAATTGTAAGAAGACAGAAGGTATAGTTGTTTTGCGATGTCAAAGAACACTCCTTTGACACTTTTGTGATGCCAACGAATACTCGTTGTCACTTTCGTAATGCTCGTTGTAGTAGGGACTTTTTAATCGCTGATACAACTATAGTAACGCTGTTGAACAATACTCGTGTCAGACGCCTTCGAATAACACTCGCACTACTAGTACTTGCTCGAATAGTAACCTGTGTCGTGTAATAGTATAAAGAATACCGGTCCGTATAGTAACAGAGGATAGACAAGTAATGACGATCAATATAGTAATAGGGGATAGAATAGAAATGACGATCCGAAAAGTAATAGAGGATAGAATGACAATCATTAGTCGTCAGGATAATTTCAACTTATGCGTTTCATCTATAGTCAAGTGGTCTACTTAATTCAATTATGGGATCGCCTGTGTTTGCTCACTGGCGGTCTATGTTCAATCTCAAGTGTCGGCAGCGACACTTTATTCCTATATAATAGGCTGTTAGCTAAAGGAACAATCTAAAATACGAACTACGAATAGGAAAGGCCAAAATCAAGAAATTTTTTAAAAAATTAAATATCTCGGAAATGTTTTAACAAGGAACAGGAACAGGGACATTGAAATCCGAAGATGCATTGATAGCGAAAGATGCCTTCCAAAAGCGAAGCAAAGTATTAAGAAACGGGAAAATGTTGTTAAAAACAAAGAAAAGAGTTAAAACACATGGCTAAGTGGATAAAAGCGTTAGTTGGACCCAGAGATTTATTAGTTCAATACCTGTCTACGGCGGTGGTAAACGACAAAATAACTTGAAGAGTTGAGTTAAAGGAAAATAACTGAGACATCCAGAATAAGGCATGGCATGTGGAACTAGAACAATCTACCCCGGTGGACGAAATAAAGGGTTCAGTTCGAAATTCCAAATCACCTGAAAAATACCGGAGCGTACAACAGCCGAAAATCGTGAACATGAAAATAAAGATGAGGACAACAGTCCGAACAATGTAAATAATGTAAATAATTACAATATCTCATCTCAGAAATCTAGACGATCCTGAAGAAGGTCGGAGCGTACAACGGCCGAAACGTCGTGAACATGAAAATAAAGATGAGGACAACAGTCCGAACAATGTAAATAATGTAAATAATTACAATATCTCATCTCAGAAATCTAGACGATCCTGAAGAAGGTCGGAGCGTACAACGGCCGAAACGTCGTGAACATAAAAATAAAGATGAGGACAACAGTCCGAACAATGTAAATAATGTAAATAATTACAATATCTCATCTCAGAAATCTAGACGATCCTGAAGAAGGTCGGAGCGTACAACGGCCGAAACGTCGTGAACATAAAAATAAAGATGAGGACAACAGTCCGAACAATAAAAAGTAAATAATTAAATACCTCATCTCAGAAACAACGATCCTGAAGAAAGCGTAATTAGGTCTTGATAAATAAAAAAATAAAAATACGACAACAGTCCGAACAATGTAAATAATGTATATAATTATAAACCTCATCTCAGAAATTAGACGATCCTGAAAAGGTCGAGCGTACAACTGGCCGAAATGTCGTGAACATGAAAATAAAGATGAGGACAACAGTCCGAACAATATAAATAATGTAAATAAATTAAAAAAATACTGAACTGTTATATAATGTCAGTCCTCCTATATTCCGGTAAATGTTCACAGATGAAGAAAAAACTTGAAGCAACAGAAATGTGGTTCTACAGAAGGATGATGAGTATACCATGATCTGGACACATGAGCAATGATGAAGCTTTAGAGAAAATGGAAACAAAGAAAAATCTTATACATAGAATCAGAAAAAGTCCATCAAAATTTCTAGGACCTATAATGAGGAAAGGGGGCTTCGAGAATTTAACACCCACAAGACATATTGAAGGCAAGCGGTAAACAGCGAGTAACCTACCTAACAAGCTTGTGTAAATGGATGGCAGTGAAGGTGAAAAGACAAACATTACTAAGAGCTACAAAAGATAGGAAATTGTGTAGAGCTATGACCGCTCACATCCAACACATAGAAGAAAACTGCAGCACGATAATTAGTAAGCTAAATTCGCACGTGTTGTACGTTCGATTCTCACTGTATGCCTCACTGAGATATCTTTGTACTCGATTAAGCTACGTTTTATATATAACGTATTTTCGGGCTTACAAAACGCTGCGGCTTGGAAGACGCACCCCAATATTGGAAAGAAATTTCTAAGAAAAAAAAAAGTAATTCTCATACAACAACACATTCACCATGTGTCCCTCACATACTGGCGCTATGTATTATTTACATTAATCACTCGTCCGAATTTTGTTTGTATGGCAATGACATACTAGTCAAGAGCAGAAAGGCTCCCTCTTCTGCTAGTAAACAGAGCATATTTAAGTTTATGGCTCGGCTCCAGGAAGGTTTATAGTCTTGGAAATTAAGTACTGAGGTTACATCATATAAAAGGCTGATAGCGAACATTATACAAATCCGCGTCCCTATCAATCAAGTCATCAAGTCAATTCGGTGATCGTTCAAGCTTACTTGAGCCTGGGCATTGCCTTACATTCGTCTTGGAAGACGCACACGTATTTTTCAGGCTATTTTTAAGGAAAAAAGTGCGTCTTGTAAGCCGGAAAATACGGTACCTCTCTCTCTCTCTCTCTATATATATATATATATATATATATATATATATATTGTGTACATTTAGGCAGCAATTTTTTTATTGATGCATGTTTCATTAAATAATATAGACAAGTTTTGTCTATTTATTTTAAATGAGTTCCTTTCATATTGTCTGATAAGCTTAATAACATTATCATTGAAATACGAAAGGAAATCACAATATTGATACATGTTTAAATCCAATCTAAGCTTTCGGCTAACATAAGCCATTATCAAAGATGACAATTACTTTTCAATATATCAACCAATACACGGACGAAACAATAATGATAGTCTGTTTTTGTTGCATGAAAAATTTCAAAGTAACGACTAACTCGTGTATGCGAGACGCGGAAGCAAAAACCGCGTCGCAGCTCGTGACATCAGACATAACCACGCGGGAGGGAAAAAGAGAAGTATTAAATATGTGTGCGCATGCGCGCATGCTTGACAGATTTCATGCAACTGAACGTACTTAAGTCTATGGGTGTTATTGTTGCTTGGTTGTTTTGTTTAGCGGCATATCATTATCTATGGGTCATTTAATGCTGTAATCTAAATATTTTATAAGTAATTTTATTTATTTAATTTTTCTGAGATGACAATAGTTTTAGCGGTACAAGTCTTACTAATTAACCCATAGCTGGGAGGAGAAGTGATGGATTCATACCATTCTCAAAGTTATTTGCGCGTAACTGAATATAACGAAGCCAACGGGAATTGAAACTCGGCTCTTCGAAAAATAATTCGGAGCCATTATTCATTACACCACCTGCACATCTTAGCTCACAGCACATGGTATTCCCAAGCGGTCACCCATCAAGGTACTGACCAGACTCGACGGCCATGGGTATGGGCTTGTCAAGGTTCATGTATGTGTGTGTATGTGCCTGAAATGTTTCTTGTGCGGGTGTGCGATTGACAAAATCCATGTCTGTATGAGTGCGTGTGTAATTAAAAGAGTTCCTATATATTATGTGTGTGTGTGTGTGTGCGTTTGTGAGTGTGTGCGTGTGTGAAAGAATTAATGCATGTTTGTGTAGCTGATAGCTTTTATGTGTGGATTGTTTGAATGAATGTGCAGCCCAAGTGTATGTGTAAATGTTCGTGCGTGTGTAAATAAGAGTTCATATATACTATGTGTCTGTGTGTGTGCGCGTTCATGTGTGTGTGTATGTGTGTACGCCGGAAAGTTTTCATGTCTATAAGTATGTACTGTATATAAATGTGTGTACCTGCTTACTTAGGTCCTTTTTTGTGTCTGCCTATGTTTGAAAAGGTTTACGTTTATGTGTGTATATGTGAGCGTGCCTGAAAGCATTCACGCTGATGTGTGTGTTTGTGTGTGTGTGTGTGTGTTTATGCGTCTATGTGCGTGAAAAAATTAATGCGTGTTTGTGTACCTTATAGTTTTTATGTCTATAGTGTTTGTATGAGTGTGCAGCCCTCGTATATGTGTATGTGTGTGTGTGTGCGTACTAAAACGAGTTCATGTGTGTAAATGTGCTTGAATGTTCATTCATGTATGTGTCTGTCCGCGTGACAGTATCCATGCCTGTGCGTGTGTCTGTGCGTATGTATGTGTGTGGACCAGAAGTTTTTCATATATATGAGTGTATGCTTGACAAAGCCCATATGTATGCGTGCACTTCAAAGACTGCATGTGTGCGTGTGTGCGCGTGTGTATGTATGTGCGTATCTGTACCTGAAAGTTTTTATGTGTATAGGGATTGTATGGGCATGTGAGTGCATGCTTGGCAAGCTCCATGTGTATGTGTGTATGCATGTGGTGTGTGTGCGCGATAAAATGTCTTCAGGTGTGTCTGTATGCTATACAAAGTATTCAACACTAATTGTAAACAATCCGAACGTCATAAACTTTTTGATACGGGTGCTCAGAAATGAAAATATTTCCTCAAAACATTCCATTTTCTTTCTTGACGCATAGGGCGTTATTCCTAATTTTTCACAGACCCCAAAATTACTCTTTGCCTCATAGTTAAAATAAACATCAAAAGCTTTGTTATTTTTATTTATTTTTTATTCATCTCTGACAACAAAAACACCGCTAATCTCTTGAGCCTTTTATGGTCTTAAACGACCTTTTTGTTGCTTAGATCTTTACAAATAATGGAATAGGAAAAGACCGAGGCGGAACGAAAAAAAAATATCAGCGGCCCGAATTTTAAAGATTTCTTTTGCTTCATGACAACAAAATTTTCGACGCTTTATAATTCGTAATCAATATTAAGAAAGAATATGGCTTGCTTGAGCGCTGACGTAGAGAGAGATGAAATGAATTAAATGAGTGATGAAAAGGCTTAGGTTACAGAGACACAGTAAAACGATAGATAGATAGATATGAATAAATAGATAGATAGATAGATAGATAATGAATGAACAGAACTGACATAGAAAGATAGATAGATAGATAGATAGATAGATGATTAATATATATGAACAGACTGAGATAGAATATGAACAGACTGAGATAGATAGATAGATAGATAGATAGATAGATAGATAGATAGATAGATAGATAGATAGATATGAACAGACTGCGATAGATATGAACAGACTGAGATAGATAGATAGATAGATAGATAGATAGATAAATAGATATGAATAGAATAGATAGATAATATGAACAGAAATAAATAGATAGATAGATAGATAGATAGATAGATAGATAGATAGATAGATAGATAGATGAATGAACAGACTGATGATAGATAGATAGATAGATAGATAGATAGATAGATAGATAGATATGAAACAGACTGTGATAGATAGATAGATAGATAGATAGATAGATAGATAGATAGATAGATAATGAACAGACTGACATAGATAGATAGATAGATAGATAGATAGATAGATAGATAGATAGATATTGTCACCCGCAAACTTAATGATCACTTTAGTAGGATTTGTTTCAATCATTTCACACCAAGCAAGACAATAAAGCCACTAAGACGCAATGGATTACTGAGTGTGAGAGAATATGTGAAAAAAAAAATTCAGTGGGTGAGTACCTGAAACCGAAGTTCCTGACTATTCTGCTCGGCTTGATCGTTTTAAAGTCAATGCTGAAGTCAACAGAAAGCATTCTAACATAACACGCCTTTTTTTTCTCTCCCTGGTTCAGTAGTTTGGTGGGCAGTGGCAAAGGCATCTTCTGTCGATCTATTCACTCTAGTATTGGTCATATTAGGAGGCACAGTGGAGTAATGGATAGCCGCTCGGTTTGAGGAACTGGAGAGCTGAGTTCGAATTCCAGTTGAATCCATTACATTCACTTACGTACTAATACCCTTGGGAAAGGTATGAATCTTCTTCTTCGCCCTCCAGTTACGAGTAAATATGGATGGCAACTGATCTACGGCAGAAAGAAATGGCAACCTACTGCGAGAAAAAATCTGCCTCGTCAGTCATGTATCGAAAGATACATGATCACTTAAGTGTGTATCACGCATGGCACATTACTGATTGATTGATCATGAGTAGACTATATTCGGCTAGCCCAATCCATCAAACCCCTTCATGATAAATCGGTGTTACTGTAACCGGTCGATAATCATTGTGTCTTCAGCTGACATGATGTGGAAAGAGTATATTCAATTGCTAACTCTGTGGTTAATAAAGTTGGTTCGCTATTTCGTACTAGACAATTTTTACAGATTTATAAGTCTACCATCCGTTCTTGATTTGAATATTGCTGCCACATTTGATCTCGTGCTCCTGTTATATATTTAGATATTCTTGATAAAATACAAAGAAGAATCTGCAATGTTATCGGCCCTGACCTGGCATCTCGACTGCAGTCACTTTCCCACTACCATAACGTAGCTTCCCTGTGCCTTTTCTATAAATATTTTCATTTTAATTATTCGGATGAACTTTCCTCTATGGTAACCAGTTATGAATTTAAACGCAGTACTAGATTGGCAGCAAGGTCTCATCAGTTTACATTTGATTTGGCAAGATGTAACCGTAAGTTCTATGCTGTCAGTTTCTTCTATCGCACTACTCGCTTGTGGAACACTCTTCCGGCTCCGTGCTTTCCAGCGAACTTTGTCAATCGTTATCTAATGTCTTCTTGATTACTCTTCTATTGTTCTCCCTTCTTAGTAATGTTTCTCTTTTTTTATTATTCTTTCACACTCATTAACCCTTTGTGTCTTAGTGGCTTTATTGCCTTGGGGTGAACAGCAAGTACATCCAGTTTTATATTCATGTGAATGCATCATTATACAACAATCAATGCCTTCTTTATAAATATTTTCATAGTAATTGTTCGGACGAATCCGTCACAGTGCATTACGACATTGGCAGCCATGTCACATCAATTTGCATTTGAGTTGGCTAGATGTAACCGTAAGTTCTATGCTAACAGTTTCTTCTTTGGCACTTGTCGCTTGTGGAAATCTTTTCAGGCTCCATGCTTTCCAGCCAACTTTGTCAATCGTTATCTAATGTTTTCTTCTTTTGTTTCCCCCCCACACTTAGTATTGTTTCTCTTTTTTTATTATTCTTTCACACTCATTAACCATTTGTGTCTTAGTGGCTTTGTTACCTTGGGGTGAACAGCAAGTACATCCAGATTTATACTCATATAAACACATCATTATACAATAATCAGTGCCTTTTCTATAAATACTTTCATGGTAATTGTTCGGACGAATCCTTCACTATGGTATCTAGACTTTATGAATTTAAGCGCATTACGAGATTGGCAGCAAGGTCACATCAATTTACACTTGAAATGGCTGGATGTAACCGTAAGTTCTATACTAACAGTTTCTTCTATCGCACTTCTCGCTTGTGGAACACTTCTTCCGGTTTGCTTGATTTCTGTAATGTGTCTTAAATCATTTTATTTTTACAAAGGTGTTTAATAAAAAAAAATAGAATCACAGAATGTGATTAGTGGTATCAGCGATCACGAATATTCATTGGAAAGATATTTTTTAAACAAGGAATTTCAGTCGACAGATTCGCTTGTCCTTGATATTTGTTTTACTCGCCATTGGCGGATGAGATTAATCTAAGAGTTGGATCCAAAATAGTTTACTAGAGAAATTGGTAATGTAGGAATTTTTGCACCAGTTTCAATAACAAATTTTATTTTGGTAGCTCCAACGACTCCAGTAGTGCTGGGTCTATGAAAGCTAATACAATTCACTCAAGTATTTGTCCACGACGTTTGGAAACAGAGGCTGTTGATTGGAAACTGATAAACATTTGAAGATCACTTCTATTATTTCTTGGGCCATCTGCATCAAAGATTATACGTTATTGTCAGAGTAAAAGTAAATATGTATTGTCTGCTTCTTTTAAGCACTTTTTCTTTCAAAAACCCTCTGATTCTTTTCTTAATATTTTTTTAATTTGACAGTAGTATTCTTTTATGTGCCGTATCCCTTCAGGACGTAGGCGATCATGGCCCACCATAACTTTCTCCTATGTTTCGGTCTATGGTGTCATTAGCATATTTCTGTTGCTTCAAGTCAAGAAGAAACTTGTGGAAGCCGGACGACGAAGAGAGGATTTAAGATCCTATAGAAGTTCTTTTTTTTTTAATCCATACAAGGTAGTAAGGCACAAGGTGTTACTGTGTGTGAAAGAATAATAAAAAAGAGAAACATTACTAAAGAGGGAAAACAATAGAAGAGTAATCAAGAAGACATTAGATAACGATTGACAAAGTTGGCTGGAAAGCATGGAGCCGGAAGAGAGTTCCACAAGTGAGAAGTGCGATAGAAGAAACTGACAGCATAGAACTTACGGTTACATCTAGCCATGTCAAATGCAAATTGATGTGACCTTGCTGCCAATCTCGTAATGCGCTTAAATTCATAAAGTCTAGGTAACATAGCGAAGAGCTCATCCGAACAATTACCATGAAAGTATTTGTAGAAAAGGCACTGATTATTGTATAATGATGTATTTATATGCGTATAAATATGGATGTTCTTGCTGTTCACTCCAAGGTAATAAAGCCACTAAGACACAAAGAATGTGAAAGAATAAGAAAAAAGAGAAACATTACTAAGGAGGGAAGACAAGAGAAGAGTAATCAAGAAGACAGTAGATAACGACTGACATAGTTACCTGGAAAGCATGGAGCCGGAAGAGTGTTCCACAACGAGAAGTGCAACAGAAGAAACTGTTAGCATAGAACTTACGGTTGCATCCAGCCAATTCAGCTGTAAATTGATGAGACCTTGTCGCTAATATAGTACTGAGTTTAATTTCATAAATTCTAGGTGCCATAGCGAAGAGTACATTACAATCTTTCGAAAGATTCGTTACTCAGACTAGTTCCAAATAGCTTATAAATTGTTTATTTATTTAAAATATTTCATATATCAGAAAATATATTCAGTTTAAATAAAGATCGATCACGAATCTCTTAACCCATTTACCAATAGCATATATATTGCAGACGTAGTAGCAAGGGTGTTTCCTGGGCAGGACAGCCTGATGTAACCCAACCGTCTTCAATCCGGTTTGAATTTAGAGTTTTCCTTCGTCGTCAACTAAGTCTATAAGTCCTAATCTACCCTGCTATTTACCCATGATCGAGAAGAGCTGGATTCATACTTTTCCTAAGGGTATTAGCACATAAGCCCGAGCCTCTATCCGTTACTCCACCGTGCCATACATAGAGAAGGGGTCATAAAAAGTCTTGGGATATGTGGTCCAGTTCTTATTTTCAGTACAGCCCAGTTATTACCCGCCCCTTTCAATTGAGCCCAGTACACGTTTCCACTCGTCTTCTTTTTCTATTTACTACTGACCAGTTTCCACAGAGCCCATGTCTTTTAGGAAATTGTCCCATCGCTACGAGACATTACATTAATTACTCTATTGAAGTGCTGGTTCGTGAATTTGCTGACAGTAATTGTGAGTTCACCGGAAACTGGGTGTGGAATAATTAAATTATTGGTACTTTTCGGCATTCCATTTATTCTTTCCGGATCGTCATACACCTGATGATGTCAGATGGACACAATGGTTGAAACATTGAAATAATAACAACAAAATGAGTATAATGTTAATAGCTTTCCCGGATCGTCATACACCTGATGATGGCAGATAATATTAATAGCTTTTGATGTGGGCAGGTGGACGCAGGGCTTAGATCTTTTCTGGACAATGACAGGTGCTACATAATGAAATTAATACTCGCAAAAAATTAATTTCCTTTTTATTCATTGACGCCATTACTATCTGCTGTTAAGTAATTTTTTTTTATAATAAATTGAGAGCCGTTCCGTGATTGTTGTCTTAATCAACCAAAAGTTTTCTATTTTTGTTCCACCAATAAAATTCTCGAGAGCCACTCAAAGTAGAGGTTTACTAAATGGGAATCTTGTATCTGTCCACAGACAGATAGCAATGTTGCATATTATGTTGATATGTTGGATAGATAAGTGTTGACCTTCGACTTGAAGAGTTTATGATTGTAGTGATCAGAAAGCATCCTCTAGTGAGTCCCTTCCACACGGTAACTCTTCTAAGAGGGAAGCTTTCTAAGTAGAACTTCTTCACTCACCAGTCGAATATGAAGGGAATGAGGATGAGTTGACTCTGTTCACGTGGACTGGCGGGTCCTAGCTGTGAATATCTCGATTGGTGAAACCATGGAATGCACTTCACTCGAACAGCTGTGAAAGTGATAGTGTAGCAAAATGCTAGCAACGTGCCATCTGTCACGGGTAGAAAGTGAGGTTTAGGCAACTCCGCCCCAGATGTAATACTAATATTCCATTTATGGTCTGATCTCTATGTTTGTCTATCACTAAAATTATATCATTCTCTCTCTCTCTCTCTTTATATATATATATATATATATATATATATGAAGAAATATACTCTTAAGGTGTGCTATATTTAGGGGATAAAGTGCCCAATACCAGAGATAGAGAGTGTGTAAA